GTAAAAAAAAAAAAAAAAAAATCCCACTGTTTTGTGATATTACTATTGATTTATATAGTTCACAGGAAAGATATATTGGAAAAAAAAAGACAAAAAAAAAAAAACGAAAAACAATGTCATCGTTTTTATGTGTGCAAAAGATCCCAGCGTACAGGATGAACGCGCACAAAAAATAAAACTGCTTTTGCTTAGAATTTCGGGCAACATTTTTCAAGAAAGCCATTTCCCTTCCCTGTATGCGATTATGGCTCTCCACATCTTCCTTTTCTTTTTTCATGTCAAATCTGATTAACATACAGCTGATGATTGGAAAGGTATAAATTGCTCTGCTAAATGCGTTGGGGATATAGCTCAGTGGTAGAGCATTCGACTGCAGATCGAGAGGTCCCCGGTTCAAACCCGGGTGTCCCCTTGCGATAATTTTTTTTTTTTCGAGATAAAGCTATTATTAAAAAAAATTAACGAAATAATGGACATTTATTATGTTTTTGTAAATTATTTACTTGTACTGATCAAAAGCTTTTCGGTTCGATTATGGATGACCATGCCTTATATATCATAAAATTGTTTTTGTACGTCTATTTCAAGAAAGAATTCAACAGAAAACAGCTAAAAATGGATTATCACAAACAGTAAAATTAAAGCCGTTTTCTGCGTTGGCTCAGTGGTAGAACATTCGACTGCGGATTGAGAGGTCTCTGCTGTCTTTTTGTGATTTTTTTCCTCGCAATACATATATTATAAAAAATTTTTTATCCAGTAAATGGACATTTATTATGCTTTTGTAAATAATTTACTTGTAAAGATAGAGAGCTCTCCGGTTCGATTGTTTTTTTTTTTAAGTCTATTTCAAGTAAGAATTCAACAAAAAACAGCCAAAAATAGATTATCACAACTCAAACAAGTTATATCAGTATTTTGAAATATTATTATCTATTTACACATTTTCAGAAAAAAGTTGCGAAAAATAATGTTCTCATTATTTATGTCTGTGTAAAAGTTCCCAGCGTTACTGGATGAAAGTGCACAAAGGATAAAATCTTTCAGATTAGGATTTCGAATAAAATATCTCTTTACATTATTCGGACTTATTCCCGATCAGAGGCATTGCTGCCGAGTGTAGTTTATCGTCATACCCAGGACGATGTGCTCGTATAGCTCTGTGTGGTGAGTGAGATAGTTGCCTTCAGATCCAGTGGTCGGTTTTCGTGTACTGAAAATATGAGAAGTTAGAATGCGGATTTTCAAGGCAAACTAACGCTCTCCACAATTTTTTCACTAAGGACTTGCGGCAAACAAAGCTCAGCTTAATAATTATCGGCAAGCACATTTACTGTTTTGACCCAGGGTTGGAATAAAATAAGAATATGGAATTATAAACACTAAATGATTACAGGAACTTCTTTATGATTACCTTGTGCCAGACTATGTTTACATTCATAAATATCGAGAAGTTAAATCATTAATTTAATTAATTTCTTAAGGGTAAAGATGGATGATTGGGAATAAAGCTCACTGGAAGAACATTAGATTGCAGGTAGAGAGGTTCTCTCAATTCAGTCAAAAGTTCCCATCGTACAGGATGAACGCGTACAAAAGATAAAATGCTTCTACTTAGAATTTCGGGCACATATTTTTTTCAAGAAAGCCATGTTCCTTCAGGTTGTGCGTGATTATGGCTCTCCATATCTTCCTTTTCTTTTTTATCTATCGACTTGTATGACATTTATGGAATTGAAGTGTATTGATTTCCCGTTGCTTTCGGGACTGGGGCATCAGTTTAGAACCTCAAACCAAGCTGTCGTTACTGCTAATCACTGAGCTGATACACTTCTTATTGAAATCTAAATTGACCATCGTGTAAACTGTGCTCATTGATAAGATTATGATTAAAGATTAAAGCCACATTGAAGTTATATGTCGTTTCGGGAATAAAGGTCAGTGGTAGAGCATTCGACTGCAGATCGAGATGCCCCGTGTCTTCCCTAATATGTCTCAAACGTTTACCTTTATCTTGAAATCTGCCTCTATTATTTGTTGAATATTTTAAAATTGAAGACACAATCGAAATCTAGTGCCAAATCTGTCGTCAAATCAATTGGAAAATGGGCACATAGTTTAGTGAATTCGATTACAGATCGAGAGATCTTCGATCCAATCCAACTTTTTGATTCTAGCACAAACCAAACCTTTTTGACTCTCGTGTAATTCCAAACCCATATCTACTTTTCTGACTCTAGTATAAACCGAACCCATGTTTACCCTTTTGAGTTTCGTGTAAACCAAACCCATATCTACCTTTCTGACTCTCGTATAAACCAAACCATTTCCTACCTTTTTGAGTTTCGTGTAAACCAAACCCATGCCTACCTTTCTGACTGTTTTGTAAACCAAACCCATATCTACTTTTCTGACTCTCGTATAAACCATACCTATGTCTACCTTTTTGACTTTTGTGTAAACAAAACAATGTCTGCCTATCCATTGTACGACAGAATTCGCCATTAAATCAGCTAAAAATTATTGATATATTGTAAATCAAACCAAACCTATTGTAGGGAATATGCAACAGTCTTGCTTACGAAGTAGGTACCTTGAGCATAAAGAATTTTTATTCAACGAGGTTGTAAGATCTTTTAAGAGCAACAAGAATGTACTTCATGCCGGTAGATAGTCAGTGTTAGTTGGACAAGGTTCTCGAATATCTATTGGCTACCACAAGTAAATGCATATAAGCATGTGTATGCCGGAAGACGCGTAACTCTACAAATATGAGGACGTATTCTGTTACATTCTGTTGGGAACAGAGTGACCCACGTCATGTCACGATATAATTACTTGTTATTGATGGGCGTCTCGAGTTTTGCGAATGTCATTTTGGTTATCGGTGCATAAACCCAATCTTTCGTTTTCGTTCCTTTTCTTTCCAATTTTTTTCCCGAATTCCACCTTTTTTTTCTCTTCTATTTATTTTTTTATTGAATTCCCAGTGATATACTTTCTTTCTTTTTTTTTTTTATTGTTTTTTTCCTTCTTTTCTATTATTTCATTCATTTTGTTGATTTTCACCATTTCTTTCTTTCTTTTCAGTTTTTCAATCATTTTGCTGATTTTCAGGTTTCTTTCTTTTTTTTTTTTGGTGTTCGATTCCTTCAATGATTTTCACATCTGTTCGTTTGTTTCTTTTTTTTGGCGTTTCAATCATTTTGCTGATTTTCACATTTCTTTCTTTCTTTTCAGTGTTTCATTAATTTTGTTGATTTCCCCTTTTTGTTTTTCTTCCATTCTTGATTTCACTGATTTTGTTGATTTTCACCTTTCTTTCTTTTCAGCGTTTTATTTTTTTTTTTTTACACCTTTCTTTCTTTTTTTCAGTGTTTCATTCCTTTTACTGATTTTCACCTTTCTTTCTTTCTTTCTTTCTTTCTTTCTTTCTTTTCAGTGTTTCATTCCTTTTACTGATTTTCACCTTTCTTTCTTTCTTTCTTTCTTTCTTTCTTTCTTTCTTTCTTTTCAGTGTTTCATTCCTTTTACTGATTTTCACCTTTCTTTCTTTCTTTCTTTCTTTCTTTTCTTTTTTCTTTTCTTTTCAGTGTTTCTTTCCTTTTACTTTTTCACCTTTCTTTTTTCTTTCTTTTCTTTCTTTCTTTCTTTCTTTCTTTTTTCAGTGTTTCATTCCTTTTACTGATTTTCACCTTTTCTTTCTTTCTTTCTTTTCTTTCTTTCTTTCTTTCTTTCAGTTTTCATTCCTTTTACTGATTTTCACCCTTTCTTTCTTTCAGTGTTTTCTTTCTTTCTTTCTTTCTTTCTTTTCAGTGTTTCATTCCTTTTACTGATTTTCACCTTTCTTTCTTTCTTTCTTTCTTTCTTTCTTTCTTTCTTTCTTTCTTTCTTTCTTTCTTAATACACACTTTCCGCACCCTACATTTAGCCAATGTCCACTTTTCTTCGATTAGCTTTTGTGACTCATTCTGTTATGATCAGTTCACATGAACGTTCTTATTTTTCCGCGTTCTTTTCCTGCGTTCTTTTCCCGCGTTCTTTTCCCGCTTCTTTTTTTATCGACTTTTGCTTTGACATTACCTAATCTACCACCATTTTTTTTATTATATTCATTCGCAATTTTCTTTTTGCATTTTCGAATGTTTCTTTTAATATAATGATTTACACAAACCTGGTCTATTGTTATATATCATGGTAGTACACATACAATCGTAAACTGTACTTACTTCTTTATATTTATTCGAATGTAATCAATCGAAAACATTGTATTATATTCTTTTTCATATACACATATTCATATGTAGATCATCTATTAAATATACAAACGAAAAATTCTAGCAATTCATCATACAATGGCGTTTAATACAAGTAAAAATACTTCATATCACAAATTTTAAATTTTATTTACTAATTATAATGGAAAATAGAAAAAGCAAGTTTTAATTAGAATTTATATAACTTTATAGGGCTCCGTATATTTGGTTATGCTTTGCGAATTTCCTACTTCTCCACGCAGCAAAAAGATGAACGATTTTAAGTTAATTAAATTATGGAATAATTTTTTGAACATATTCTAATCATAAAGACAGCAGACACATTAAATAAAAAAAAAAAAATTAAGGCACATAATAAGAAAAAAGGGCTTGGAAATTTTGACACTCAAAAGGCATATAGAAGGCAAGAGTCACAGAGAGTAGCAGTACATAGACTATTGATTGATCGGTTTCTTTTTGTTTCGGCTTATCAACCTTTCTTCAGGTTATTTAAAGCCAGAAAATATTTTTAGATTGTAAAAATTTATTTTTTTAAAGATAATAATGATTTAGCGATATAAGACTCACTAATTAATCCATAGCTGGGGGCGAAGAGGTGGAGTCCTAACTTTCCCCAAGGGTATTTGCATGTAAGTAAATATAAGAAACCCAAATGGAATTGTAACTTGGCTCTCCGATTAACAATTCCGGGCCATTATCCATTATACCATATGCACATCCAAGCTTACAGCACCTGATATTTCCACTCGGTCACCTATCTAGGTACTGGCCAGACTCGACATTGCTTAACTTCGGTGATCGTACGGGAACCGGTGTTTTTACGCTATATGGCCGTAAACCCAGCGCATAGCCTACATAAATGGTGTAAATGGTTGGAAGAACAGTGATTAGGAAGGATGACAGAAAGACAAACTTTACTAAAGGCTACAAAGAACAGGAGGTTGTGGAGATCCATGATCGGATGAGGAGGATGAGAAGAAGAAGAAGAAGAAGAAGAAGAAGAAGAAATGTACGAAACCGATTTAATTAGATGACACTTTTTCATTTGTATTTAAAATTAGGCTTCATTAACCTTGTTAGTATTTTCAACTTTGGGACCTACTATCTTGAAGAGACCTACTACAACAGGTAGAAGACATAAACCTGTCCCACACCTGTTGTCTTTGTAATTGTGTTGACTGACCATTTCCATTAAGGACTTAATCTGTAGCATAGGAGTTACATGAGTGGACTATATCGACCCACGGAGCTCGATGGCACTAGGCTGGGTGTCGATAAATGTCTGTTCGTTTCAAAAGGAGTTGATAAATAATTCGTGGTTACTTACAACTAAAACCCACCAATTCCCAACCAAATACTCGTGACCCTCATTTAATTACGTCAACCAAGAGACAAGTTTTTTTTAATTTGTCTCACATGATTCAAACAGATGAGGTGCCATGGAATCAGAGAGATAAAAGAAATATTTAATTGTGGTCAACAAATGGAGAGGAATCTACGCAAGATGTGAGATTCATTTTTGGCAAATCCCATATTTTAGGGGTATTTTTTCAGAGCGCCCACGTCGCGACTGAATGTGAAAGAAAGTGAGTGTAAGGTGGATTTAACAGCAATATCGTGCAAAAATTGCTCAAGACACCTCGGCCCTTCCTCTTTTGGGGACGCCTTTGCGGGAGGTAATAAACCCAGTCCTCTCCAAAATGAGAGATACTGCCTGGGTGGATGTCCCCACCTCGAGGCGTGAGCTGAAGCGAACTTCTACACTAGGGAAGAATAAATCACATATTTTAGGGTTACCAGGAATTTGATACACATATCTGTTTGCTTCTTTTGATATCATCCCCAACGCCCTAACCTCCAATTATTATTATTATTATTATTATTGTTGTTGTTGTTGTTTTTGCTGCCGCTGTTGCTGCTGCTGTTGCTGCTGCTGTATCCTGAATCTCTGGTGTTCAGTTAGCAAAAGACTTACAACAAATTTTCAGCGTTAATTTCATCGTTTGATACCACATTCTGCTTCTTGTTCTTGATCTCCTCCTCCTCCTCCTCCTTATTCTTCTTCTTCTTCTTCTTCTTCTTCTTTGTTCCTTCAGGACGTTGACGTCCAGTGTAGCACTGTTCGTAATAGTCTGTTTCTTCATGAATCACAGCCAAAGTCATTATTATTATTGTTATTATTATTATTATTGGTGGTGGTGGTGGTGGTGGTGGTAGCGTTGGTGGTGTTGTCTTTTGATTTTGCTTTGTTTAATACGTGTAGTCCCCAAATCTCAACCAGAAATTTCATGAAACAATAAGACTTTTGTAAGGAAAAGATACAAGCAGATGAGGTGCCATGTGCAATCAGGGAGATAAAAAAAAATGCATTTGTGGTAAATGCAGGGAGATAAATCTACGTAAGACGTGAAATGTATCCATTAGGATGGCTTTTTGCAATTCATATATTTTAGGTTCACTAAGTCTATTATTATATATTCGCCTGTCGTACGGTTCACACTTCTCTCCGTCTTTTGAACGGGAGTAGAGATTGATTGGGTTCCCGGTTCTTTCTAAAATCTCATTCTCTTTCACTCCCAGTAGACACTTGCGTCTTAGTGGCGTTATCTTCCTGCTTGTAGTGAACTGATAAAAAAAATTGACACATTAAATCGAGATAATATTTCGGCTTACTATCTATAAAATAATTCTATCTTGTTGGTAAAACCCTTGGGTTTAAAATTCTTCGGATTTCCATGCAAAGTTATTGATCCCACGGGTTAAACTTTTTTATATTTGCATGCAGGGAAACACTCAATATCTGTTTTGAGCTCTTCATAATTAATAAGCAGTTTCCTTTCTAAAAACTGCATAAATGATCTTAAAAATGATAGATGGAGCAAGGATAGGAGAGTATAAGAAAGGTGAGGCCAAATATTTAGTGTCTTTCTCTTTTCTTGACTGACTAGCGGATTATGGGGCGATGAATGATCATGTAGGAGCAACAAGCTTTTCAAAATAACCAACAATGATCAATTCTCCAGCAAATCTTTGGATATTGCTTTCAATTGACGACAATACCTTTCTGCATGAATTCTTTCGCTTTGATTTAACGATTCATATTTGACAACTACCTTCTTAATCTACCCAACTAATATGACTAATGTAATCTTGGCATGTGGGTGGATTTTCTTTTTTTCAGTGCATGCTAACCTTTGTTGTTTCCGTTGGATATAATTATAAAGCATCCACTTATAATTATAGGGAATCCACTTATAATTATAAAGAATCCACTTATAATCATAAAGAATCCACTTATAATTATGGGAAATACACTTATTATTATTATAAAGAATCTTCTTATAATTATAGGAAACCCACTTATAATTATAAAGAATCCACTTATAATTATAGGGAACCGACTTATAATTATAAAGAATCCACTTATAATTATAGGGAATCTACTTATAAATATAAAGAACCACTTATAATTATAGGGAATCCAATTATAATTATATGGAATACACATAAATTATAAAGAATCCACTTATAATTATAAAGAATCTAATTGTAATTATAGGGAACCCATTTATAATTATAAAGAATCCACATATAGCTACAGGGAATCCATTTTTAATTATAGAGAATCCATTTTTCATCACGGGTGGTGATTCTATTGCGGAAAGTTCCAGTAGTAAACCTGCACTTCAGTGACAAGTTGAGAGCAATGCTTTGATTAAAGCCTATAAGCAGACTGACGATAATAATGATGAGGGACATACTATCCGTGTATAGACACATTTCCGAGTTCATGATAGCGCTTTATGATTGAAGTGCGAATTGTATTGAACTGTTTGGCTAATTCCCGTGGAGTTTGCTTTGGATTTTTCCGCAACCATTGTTTACAGCAGCTCAATATTGACAGAACGTTGTCGTCCAGAACTGAATCTTTGAAGGACAAAAAAAAAATCCCGATCGTAACTGGCTGGTTGGCATATCCACACATTCCCATTTTCCAAGTTTCTTTTCCATAGCCAGTAATAAATGATTTTTTTGCTGCTTCCGTTGCTGAAGTGTCCTTTTTCAGTTCCTACATCATGCCGTGTTCGATATGGATCTTATTTAAACTCATTTTAAAAGGGAAACATTGATAAATCTTTTGCCCACTCTGATATTAAGAAATCTGCAAGCAAAGAAATAATTTTAAAAACGTAAAATTGTTATTTAAACGTAAGTATTGAAAGAATACACTGAAAAATTCGGCAGGATTTTCTTTCCAACCTAATAAACACAAGCACACAGACACACACAGACAGACAGACAGACACACACACACACACACACACACACACACACACACACATATATATATATATATATATATATGTATATGTGTGTGTGCGTGTGTGTGTGTATGTGTGTGTAAAGTATTGCACATTGTGTGAAGGTGTTAATAAAACAGTGTTCAATGTATGATAAAAGAGCTAAATTTTATGTTAATAATAAATATACATTTTTGCCCCTCTCCGGTAGTACAACTTTGAGTTTCATGCGCGATGCAATCGTCGGGTGGGGATTGAAAACTGACCACTGTAAAATTTAAATACTGATTTTTATAACTTAGTGAAATAGTCCATTTATTTATGCATATATTGAAATATATATATATATATATTTTTTTTTTTAAACATATTTGAAACATGGTTAGAACTGTGTAGCGGAAAAAAAAACATATTTTAAATCAATTAATTTATAATATTAATGCTCTGTAAATTTACATTGAGCACTATTTTGTAAAAATAAAAATATCTATAAGAACACCGGATTATATATTTTTACTGTTCTTTCTCTTTATTTAAATACATACATATATATATATATATATATATATATATATATATATATATATATATATATATATATATATATATATTTACTTTCTTTTTTTTATTTAAATACATACTACACAGTTCTAACCATGTTTCAAATATGTTTCAAAAAATATATATATATATATCCGCGTCCTGGGTAAGACGATAAAATACGTCCAACAGCAAGGCCTCTGATCAGGTTTTGAGGAGCGTGGAACCACCTCGTGTTCCCAGGTCCACCCTGACCAGGGGTGATAGCATCTAGTAGCGCCCCATATATATGTTGTCCCACCACTGTGTGTGTGTGAAAGTGTGTGTTTTAATATCAGAAATATTTAAAAAAAAATTAGAAAATAAATATTTTAAATTACTAGAACTCTCATTAAATAACCTAAATAATCCAAAAACAAACCAAACTTATTTTTTTGAAAAAATATTTTAGCTATACATTTTTAAAAATTAAATTAAATTTTTGAAAAAAATTTTGTCGCTTGAAGAAAACAAGCCAAACAAACATATATATATATATATATATATATATATATATTTAATTCAAATAATTATATTAGGAAAGAACTTTCCAAAGTTCTTTAGTTTTTTGTTATTATTTTTAATTAAATTAAATTCCCAACTCTTTGAAGATGTAGAACGTGTTGGAATCAATTTTAAATAAATATATTATATATATATAAATATATATATATATAATTTTTTTAAATAAATAATTATATATATATATATATATATATATATATATATATATATATCCATATATATATATACTACTATAAAATGGATATATTTCTTTAAAAAAAAATATATATCATTCTCTGTAGCTGAGTGGTATAGCACGTCAGATCAATTGACGGTTTCGTATCGAACAAAGGTTCGATTTCGATTACTGTCGGAGAACGCATATTTTCTCCGAAAATTTCTCGAACATTCAGAGCGGTAAATGTAATTAATACTATTTAATAAAATAAAATA